ATTATTCACCAATGTCCCAGTGGAGGGTGCATTAAGATGTCTAGAAACCAGACTTCGCGAATTTCATTTCTCTTGCATCGAAATTGATGAGCTAATTTTTCTCTCACTCAACTCTGTTTGAAACAAACACATTTTGTTTTCCAAAATAAATATTACAAGCAAACTGAGGGATTAGCCATGGGAAGCCCCCTCAGTCCCATCCTGGCTGATATCTACATGCATTATTATGAATCAAAATTGTTTGAAACTTTAAACTTCCCGGCATGGTTCCGCTACGTAGACGATACTTTTACCCTGTTTGAAGGTAATAAAGATGATTTAAATAAAGTTCTTTCAACAATGAATTCTATTGATCCTGCTATTCAGTTCACTTTTGAACTTGAGACTTGCAATTCTCTTCCGTTTCTCGACATTCTGGTCACACGTAACACATCCAACTTCAGTACTACAGTTTACCGTAAACCTTCATCGGTTTGCCTTCCACCACACTTTAAATCATGTCATCCGACTAAACAAAAGTTAGCTTCATTTTATTCCTATGTTTTCCGTGCTCTTCAAGTTTGCTCCTCCAAACTAGCCCTTGATGAAGAACTAAATTATTTAAAAGCAATAGCTATTGACAGGGGCTTTTCACCCAACATTATTAATCAAGCAGTTAAAAAATTCTCATCTCAACACACTAAAAGCCACACTCTTATTTTAGGAGATTATAAAAATTCTGTTGTCATTCCCTTCTTTCCATCAATTAGCTATACAGTTGCACATATTTTGCAGAAATTTAACTTTCGGGTTGTTTATTCTCCCATCAATAAAATTCCAACTTCTATACTCAAGGACCCCATTCCGGATATGAATTCCTGGGGTATTTATAGGATTCCTTGCCAGTGTGGTTTAATTTACATTGGCCAAACTAAGAGAGCCTTAAAATTTCGCGTCAAAGAACATGAGGCATATGTTAGAAAAAAGGAAACACAGAAGTCTTCTGTTGCTCAACATTGTTGGTCCGAAAATCACACTTTCAATTTTTCCTGCTACCAAAATTATTCAAAAAACATCTTCCATTGGAGAACTGGATTTTCTAGTGGCATTTCACATTCATAAAAATCTTTCTGTTCTAGTTAACGATCCTAATTCCAATCCAAATTTGCCTTCGGCTTTTAGAGAAATTATGTTTTAGTTCTGGTTTCGCCAACAGATGGCGCCACTTGCTTATTCTTGTCCAGGCTTTCTTATCTTATCTAATCATTATTTCCTATCTTGTTCATTTGCGGTTTTGCAGCTGAAGATGGATGGTTCGGTAAAACCATCGAAACTAGTCCTGTGAAAATTTTGTAAGGTATAACGCTGATTTTTGTTGTTTGACTTCTGAATTAGTATTTATTCGGTGTGTTATTGTTTAATTAACTAATTAATCTATAATCCAATTCTTAATGTAAATAATATTTAGGGGAAAAAGCTTTGTATATTTAGTTAAAAAATAGTTTTTTACAAAAAAATACCTTTTTCCCAATGACATTGTTAAAACATGACAAATTTTACTTTCTTATATAATAATAATAATAATAATCTTAATTTTTTTTATAACATCAAAAGCCAGCTTGATTCATTAATAACACTTTCTAAAACTTTCATTAGGTCATAACTGGTCTACATTTAGTCCTTGTTTTACTAACAGCACAGAAAATCCTCTAGCTCTCTGTATTGCTATTTGTTTTATTTCATTTTAAGGCAAAACATACTAGGGCTATATGAGATGTCTTTCTATATGTGAAGGACTTTTTAAGGGAAACTACCTTGCATCTACATTACATACGGACTGTATTGTTACGACATAGCAAATTAAATGAACAGTCGAAGGTCATTCTTTATATCTATTTCTTTATCAACTTTAGAATTTGCCTTTGCACTTCAATATTGTCATAAATTTAGCTATCAGCAAACATTTTTCTAAATAAAGCTGAAGCAGAATCCAAAGCATGTAAGTATGTTAAAAAACATTAGCTTATCCAATCTTGTAAAGTAAAAACCCCACAACAACAAACGGTACGCATCACAAATGTATTACATTTCTTAATAAAAAGGAAAATCATCTGTATATGATTTTTTAAATGCATCTACTCTTATATAAATCATAGCAGAGTGCTGCAATGTCTTACTGGCAAAAATGGTTCCCCTCATTTATAATAGAGAATGTTTAACCGCTTTCAAATATCATAAATAATGTTTTTGGATGCAAATAATAAAAAGACAAGCTATATAAATTCATGATAATTTTAGTAATAAGAATATTCAAGACAAATATGCTATAAATCAGATTGGTGGAAGTACAGTCAGTTTACCACACAATTCAGCATAGGTGGCATCTCTGATTGTAAACAAATTTCCTAAGAATAAATGGTGGGAATTCATGAAGTCTTTATAAAGAAAGTATTATGTGGAATGAATTAAAAGCGCTTTTATTTAATTTGGTCACTCAAAAGGATTATGACAAAATTAACCAATATCAATATGTAACTAACAGCAAAAACAAATGTTAAAGCAATATTCTATACTCATGAAAGAAAGATTGATGCAAGCTTGCAGTTGATTGCATAATTTTCTCTTGAGATGGTCAAGATATTAAATTCATTACTGTGAATATCATTTTCAACAAAGCCCCAGAGAACGTGAGATCTTGTGAGCCAGGGGATGGGTCTCTTTCTGCCAATTCAATATCCTGGGAATTCTTGATTTGCCTTTAATTGTATGCGCTTTGCAAAGTGCAGTCTGCTAACTTATCATTAAAAAAAAATTATAATTCAGTATCTTTCATTTGCTCAATCAGAGGAGGGGAAAATAAAATATCTGTTGCATATTCAAGAACTCAAAGTTAATATTAGTTTAAAAAAAATCTTTTACTCATTAGAACATATCAGAACCAGACCAAATTCCACATGTATTTGTGCATAATATGTGGATTCACAGAACCTCAAGTTCAACAATTGTAAAAATTACAGAGAAGTTTACACAGAATGTGGCTTCATTCATACATACATAATCTTCTTGAATGACTGAATTAAAGAAAAGCACTTGAAATCTACTTTCCATAAGATATATTCAGAGGTACATGGCGCAAAAAGAGGGGGGGCAGTTCTATATCTCCCGTTCTACTGGGCCGATTGACAAAATTGACCTTGAGTTCTTCATGTCTCAAAAGCACGACTTAGGATAAGTATTAGATTTATATATAGAATTGCTTTAATGTAGGTATTTTGACACAAAATCAAACTTTTTTGAAATGACATGCCAATTTTTTTCATATTTCGATTCTACGAATCAAATTATGCCAATCTGCCAAAGTTTGTAAAAATCACATGATTAGTTTTTTAAAAGTTAGCTCTTCAATGTTAAATTTTATATATATTTATTGATATCTCTTTTTTTTTTATTAAACTTGCTAGATTCCTTCTTCCAAAAATTCAAAATTTAGGCTTAATCCAAATATAATTTGTACATTTTTTATTATTTATTTTAAAAATTTGTATTTTTAAATATTTTTTTATAAATTTTTCGAAAACATTTTTCTATTATAACCTATAAAAGTTTTAACATCATCTTAAAGTAGATGCATTTCTAAACATATCTGCAAAAAATTAAAGTTTTTTATTCAAAATTTCCTAAGATATTAATGAATTTACATTTTGGCACATTTAATATACGCAATAATAACGAAAATGTGGTTTATGCACTTTGCTAAAATAATTTGAAAGTATAAACAATGGACCTTTTCTCCTCTCGTGCATCAATGAAAAATAAGGAAAGTAGGTTACTATAAATTAAGAATTCCACTACTTACTTTCTTGATGCAAACTAAAGCTTTCTGGCACTACTTACTTTCTTTATTCTTGGCGCAAATTGAAAAAAATCCGCTAAGATAAATTTTTAAATTTCTCCAAAAATTTCTCACCAAAAATTACAAAATTTAATGTCTAGGCATAATTTGAGTCATCGAATTGAAATATGGAAAAAAAAAATGATATGTTATTTCAGAAAAAAGTCCGCTTTTGTGTCAAAATACCCATGTTAGAATGATGCTATTTATAAATCTAACATATATCTCTTTCGAGAGATGAAAAATGCAATTTGAATTTCATCAATTGGCCCAGTAGAAGGAAAGATACAGAACTGTACCTTTTTTTTATTTTATTTTATTTTTTTGTGTGCAGTATACATTATGAAATCCTATTATTTATTCATGAGCACACTGATTTTATAATACATAGCTTAGCTAACTTACAATTAGATCGAAATATAACCCCCCCCCAAAAAAACAAGGAGACAGAGAGAAAGAGAATGGGGGGAAAGGGAGTATTCAGTTGCAGGAATTAATGCACAGAAATTAGGTAATAAGATATTTAAATCTCAAAAGGTACATTTATATGATTGGGAAAATGAACTGCTAATGATCATTGAAATCCAAATAGCCATTCCGTTATATTTTAAAAAATACCACCATCGGAATATTCCATACAATATAAAACAGTTTTTAAAATGTTGGGGTGGGGGTGAGGAATATTAAAAGTAAACAATGATGTTTAGCTAACTGGAAAAAAAATACACAGGAAATTTGATTTTGATAGTATGTAAAACAACCACCTCAATTAAAATGTACATAAAAGGAATGTTTGAGAAAACAGACATAATTTAACATTAAAAATACATATTACATTAGCTTCAAAACTGTGCTAACATAGAGCAAAATCAAGCATGAGATACAACACTCTTTAATAACCCTTATTAAGTATTTTGATAAACTAAATAATTTTCCTACAAGTTAAGTAAAATTATACCACTGTATTCAGTCATAATAAAATTATTTATGTGTTAACATGTATTAGTACATGTGGCTAATAAATGAGAAATATTGATCAAATGTAACCAATAAATACATAATGAAACAAGAGATAAAAGAAGGAAAAGAAAATTGCATGATTTTTTTAAGAAAAGCAGAAACAACTATATTCAATTACATATTTTTTAATCATATCTCAATGTCAAATTCTAAATAATAACAAAATCTTGTAATTCTGTCCACATAACCAGAAACTTCTATTAAATACTGGAGAGTAAACAAGCAATGAAAATCTCTGCTATATTTTAAATTAAAAGGTTTTACAGATATTCATGACTTTAAAATATAGTTTATTCAATACACATATTTTTGTTATAAAGTTGATACAATCCATAACACTTTTTAAAACTAATGTATATAGTTCGTTTCATACTTAAGATAAATAACCAAGTTTTCTAAGGATATTTATTATTTCTGTTTCACTTATGTCTTGAGGAGGACAAGAACTAAATGCACCAATTTTCATCAACATTTCTTGCAAGAGAGGAGCTGGAACATCCATCATTCCTACTTTCACTAAAACAGATGCAAGTCGCTGAGCTAAAGATAATTTCACATCATTTACACCACCCTGGGTGCCTGGTGTGCTAAAATTAGATCCTGGAGCATTATTAACAACTGGAAATAAATTTCGCTCAGATGGTGTACGTGTGACATCACAAAAAGCTACTTTTGCAGTAGGTGGAGGTACTGGTACTTTCTGAATGTTTGGTCTAATGTTATCATTAGAGAAAAAGCGTCCTGGACCTTTAGCAAAAGGCATAGCATTCCCGTCTCTAAGCCTTGTGGAAGGTTCTGGGGTAGCATGAAAACTCATATCTTTGTTCTGAGGCTGAAAAACTTTTTTGCTAACTGATGGATTAAACTTTGGAGTAGCAGGATGATTCAAATCCCATTTCTCAGGATCTGGTTCTGTTACATAGTGAGGAGCAATAGTTTTCTCCTTCTCAATTTTTTCAGCCTCATTAGCTCCGAATAACTTGGTAACTTTTGCTTTTAGATCTTTAAACATATTTTCAGATGGGACATTAGGCTTTGAATGTGAAGACTGATTGAAAGCATTAAATTGATTTGGATGCACAAAAGACTGACCGGGATTTTGAACCCTTGGATATGGTTGTTGAGCTTGAACAGGGATGCGTGGTGGCATTGTATTTGGAACTGGTGGAAAAACAGGATGACCACTTACAGGTGGAAAAGGAAGCTGTGAAAATGTAGGTACAGGTATACCAGATACAGGAGGAGGGAATGCAAAATTCGGTTGATTTGGCTGTTGCATACGTAGATTTCCAGCCAAAGCAGATAATAAGCATTGCTGAAGAAAGTCAGCTCGTGAACGTATGTCAGACTCAACTGGACGAGGCATAACATTTTGGTCAGCAATATTTTGTGGCTGTGTTCCTAAAATTTGTTGTAATTCAGCACTATGGACATTCATAAAATGCATTAACTTATTCAGAGATGGATCTTCAGGATTTACTTCAATACCTGACAACTTCCGCATCATTTGAGTGAGAGCAATTCGAGTAGAAGGTGGCAATTTCATTTCCTCCCCACGCTTATTTTTATCACCAGTGTTAAAATATACAGATTCATCTTCATCACTTACAGGATCCAGATCACTAACAGCTCTCCCAGAACTAACTTCAAACTGTTTTAAAGGTCTAGAATACTTCTGTGTAGGGATATAGCTTTTGTGTGAAACAGGTTTTTCGACATCATACTGTAGAGAATCTCGTAGGTCACTACTTTTACCATATGTATGATTAGGGCTTCTCGAAAAAGTTCTTTCGTAGGACTTTCTTCTTGGACTTTGAGAATTCCTTCTTTCAACACTTCTAGAGCGTCGCCTGGGAGAACTTCTTGAGGGCAGCATATAAGGACTTCTTCGTCTCCTAGAAGGGCTCACTGAACGCTTTTTAATAGGGCTTCTTGAACGCCTTCGCAATGGGCTTTTTGAATACCTTCTTACAGGACTTCTAGAGTACTTTCTGGCAGAGCTCCTTGAACTAGCCCTTCGAGGGCTTCTTGAAAATCTTCTTACAGGGCTTCTTGATCTTCTTCTGTAAGGGCTTCTTGAAATCCTTCTTATGGGACTTCTTGAAGTCCTTCTTGGTGGACTTTTTGATCGTTTTCTATTAGGACTTCTCAAAAAATCCCAAGCAGGACTTCTGGAATATCTTCTCGAAGAACTCTCTGCACGTCGACTTCTTGGACTTCGTGAACGTCTTCGAAGTGGACTTTCATAACGTTTTCGATAAGGAGATCTCCTTCTGTGAGGACTCCTGGAATGCCTTTTTAAAGGAGATATAGATCGTCTTCTAGAAGAATGAGACAAATGCAAAGGACTAGAATTTTGCAAGGGACTTCTTATTCTTCTAACCGGGCTTTTAGACCGCTTATCAATTTTTTTATGATCAGGTGACTTGGTCTCTTTTCTTTTTATTGAGCCAGAACCATCTTTCTCCCATTGTTTAACACCATCAGGTTTCTGCTCAGCATTAACAACAGTAATACTTAATTTTGAATCTTTTTTATCACTAGCTACTGTAACTGATCTCGGCAGAGCACTTTTACTCAAAATCCCTGGAAAAAAAGGGAAATTATTATGTCTATTAATTTATTTATAATTAAATAGGGCATTAACAAATGCAAAAATTGTATTTAAGGCACAAAAATAAATTATATAAAGATGAACTCTTCAAATAAACCTTCAATGAATGAAATTGTATTTTAAAATGACAAACAGAAGATTAGAAAAATTTATAGCTCATGCCTATAATGTTAGTAAATAATATCTGTAAAAATAAGAAGCCAAAGCTATTAAAAAAATTTAAATTCAAAATGGGTTAAAGAAACTGCATGTAAAAAAATAAATAAATAAATAATAACCTGAATTAATTTATTAAATTACTACCTAACTAATTACCAAACATACTACCATGATTTTTTTTTAGTAATTCATTTCAGGAACTAAATGAAACATTAGCCAGACATTACACAACATTCTCAATATAGGAGAAAATTTGTATTGTAATTTTTAAACAGGCTTAAATCAACAAAGAATTCAAAACAAAAACTTAATTAAAAATTCTTAAACATGTATCATCAGTTGATTATGTAACAATATTAATTGTCATTATTTCAAAAATTTGGGTTATTTTAAAGAGAACATTTAATATTTTATTTTCTAGCAGTTGTTCTTAATCCACTCATGAAAAATTCACATAAACATGCAATGAAATAGCAAAATATAATACAGACTGAAAACTTGAATTAGTAACAGGAAATTCTGAAAAATGGAATTCAAGAATCTTGCTTATAATTAGCTGATTCATACTGGTTAGGGACGCTTTTAAGGCTACTTTTGAATTCCACAGAAAACACTAATTTTTCTCTTTCTTTATATGTACATTCTCTAAAACAGGATTGAGTAACTTCTGCGTGTAAAAAATCAATCTTTTTTTTTCTTTCTAAAAAATGTGCTTAACTACTAAAATCTTGATTTTATTATCTTAGCATTAATAGGAAATCTGTGTCTGCTTGCTTCAAACTTAAGCATTCAAAATTTAGTGTGTATCCAAACAAAAGTAATGGAAATACATCTTCAATACAAGTCAGTGAACAGAGAATGATGTTTAGTCTTTGTGAACTTTAAATATGAAAAAGTCAATTCAAAAGTTATAATTTTATTTTCTAATGCACTTTTTCTTTCTTCTTCTTTTCAATATTAATTGCATCAAATTTTTGCCACAATATATTTACACTTAAATCCTTTGCAAACGGAAAAGATGTATACTGCACATAAGTTAAGTTTTTCACAATCGTGAAATCTAAATTCAAAGCCTTCGATCACATTTATAATTTCTGCAATATACATTTCAATGCCATAATTTTAATGTTTTTGTAGGTGAATGAACATATTTGGAAATTAATTGAAATTATTTTGTTGAAAAATTTTCATCAGCTTTGGCTTTATATGCATTATTGCTACTGATAATTTCAATTACTATCTTGTTTTTCCTTGCAACTCTAAATTTAAATCACTTAATTTCAATGTAAATTTATAAGAAATGCTAAATCATTAAGCCAAGTTTCATCTTTTATATCTGTCTATTTTTGATCTCGTGCTCTGCAAAATTTTTTTATCTCAGTTACTAAATCATGAAATCTTTTCAGAAATTTACTTCTGTTAAGCCACATTATTAATAAGGCTGTCCTTCATCATATTGTAACTGGAAGAGATGCTGCTGTTCAAGGAAATTCCCTCGAATGGATTTAAACGCTTCGCCTATTTTTTCTTCTGTATTTGATCTTTCACTAGATAACTCTTGTTCGTGAATTATACACTGGAACTAAATCAAAATTCGTCATCATTTTGGCATAGTGTTACAGATCTATTTTATGAGGCCAATCATTACTCCAGCTCCATCTGTTGTTATTAAAACTAATTTAATTAATTCTTTTTTAAATGCATTACCGTTAACAACCGTACAAATAAGAATAAACAATTAGCTGTGTCACAGCTGTTGATTCACCAAATTAAAGGGCAAAAAAAGCATCTATTAATGTTGTTATACAACTGTTATCTTATATTTTCACTAATGCGAACCACATGAGAAAGTGGTTAGCGACTCCAACTGCTGTGCCAAGACCCAGGTTCGAATCCCAAAGAAGGGATGGATGTAAATTTTCTGTCTCTTCACAGGAAGCAATGGTGGCTCCATAATAAAATAACCACCGCTTTTGGCCTTAGTAGTAGCCAAAGCCTAAAATGGCTAGTACCTGCCACTAAAAAAATATAATTTCACTCATTTTCTCAAAATGCTGCATCACAATATAAAACAAAGTACTTATATTTTTGAATAGTAGTAGTGTTAAGAAACCGTCATTTTTTTTCAATACACAATAATACAATTTTACTCCTTTTGGTGAATCTAAATACTAAACAACACACGAATGAATATCAACTTATGTGGTATTAAAATCAGGATTAAAAAATGATGCCCGAGAAGCCTCTTAAATGGCATGCTGGACAACAAGTGGATTACAGGCGACATAAGGCGCTATTTTCCTCTCTTGGCAGTTAGTGCCAAATTGTTGGTGCAAATGATTGATCATGTGAACTTTGAAACTGTCTCCTGCTGCTTGTAATCGACCTAAGACTGCTTCATGACTGACTTGTTGGCCATTCCCATTCTAAAACACAGTTCTTAATGAATGGATTTGAAAATTAAATGTACTAATAATTTTTATATGCATACTAAACATACCAAACGAGCAACTGATTAATAAAAAAAGTATTCTTATTCAATTTAAAGATATATTTGATAAACTTCTTCACAGAATTTTCTTCAGTGGAATAATATTTGGTTACTTTTTTCCACTATATTATGCAAGTATTACTTTTACTGAAATGCAGTACTTTCAAACAGTTAAAAAAAAAAAAAAGGTTCATTCATGATGTACTTTTCACAGAGACTGAAATGTTGTATTTTCAAACAATTAACAAAAGTACATTCATGAGTGTACTTTTTACAAAGTCATTATACGTGTAATGACCAACAAGCAGCTTTTATTGAAGACTTAACTATTTTTCTTAAATAGATTTTTATTTATTTCACATTTTGTATATGATTAAATAAACGTTTTGAATCCCCCCTTTTATTCCCAGTATGCAGTTCACACTAAACTAAGCTAGTTATTTTTATACAATAATTAAAAGTTACAATAAGGTAGTTAAAAAAGTAAAACAGTTCAAATATTATAACAAAAAATTTTGTAATTAAAGAGAGCAATTTTGCTTTTACAACTACAAATCAATATCAAAAATGAAATGACAAATTGAAATACAGAAGGCAACTTACTTTTGAGGCAGTGTTTTGAATGAGAACCTGGTTTCACATGGCTTCTGTGTTTAATCTTCATACTTTTTTTTACAACGCTACCTCCACTTATAGTAGGTATATTAGCAAAATCTGTGTCAGAAGGAAGTTCTGTTGTTTCTTTAGAGGTTTCCTCATCAGAAGGTTTCCGCTTATGAATGGCCTGAGTCTTAGGATTAATTTTTTTTACCATAAGATCTTTATTTTGTGCATATAAATTAGTAATATTTGTACTATTTTCATTTTCCACAATACTCTCTTTAACAGAAAATTTCTGTTTACTAAGATTTGCAGACCTAACACTAATCTTTTTCACAATTCTGCCTTCATCTGTTCTCTGTACATTAATAACTTCAGTTATGTTAGGATGAAGTTTCTCTCCATTACTTTGCTTAGTAAGAGGTTTCGGTTTACTAAGGTTCTTATTCCTAACACTAACTTTTTTTACAATTCTTTCTTCATTTATTTTGCCAATTGCAACAATTTTCCCTGTGTCTGAGAGGAATCCTTCACCTTTTTCAATGCTTTCTGCAACAGATGGTTTTACTGTGCAAATATTCCTGGTGCTAATTTTTCTCACAATTCTACATTCATCTACTGCATGAGCACTAACTTTTGCTGCATTATGAGACTCCCCTTTTTCAATGCTTACAACAAAAGGTTTTGTTTCACAAAATGCATTGCCATTATCAGATTTATTTTTACTTAATTTAAGAGGAGCTAAATCTTTTCTAAAACTCACAGCATTGTGTACTCCTTTATCTTTAGAACCAATGAAAATATTTTGCCCTCCTTTAACTACAGAACCACTATTTTGCCCTCCTTTAACTACAGAACCACCTGTACGTTTTGCACTTAAAACATTATACACTCCTTTACCTTTAGAACCAAATGCATTTTTTGATTTTAAAGTACTATGCACTTCTTTAACTTCAGAAATAGCCTCATTTTTTGCATTTAAAGTTTTATGCACTTCTTCAACTTTAGGACTAACTGTGTCATTTGCATTTGAAGTATCAAGTCCTTCTTTAACTTTAGAACTAGCTAGATTATCTGCACTTGAAATATTAAGTCCTTCTTTAACTTTAGATCCAGTTGCACTTTCTGCATTTGAAGTAATGCATATTTCTTTAACTTTAGAACTAACTGTGCTTTTTACACTTGAAGTATTCTGTTCTTCTTTAACTTTAGAGGCAACAGCATTTTTAGCACTCAAGGCATTTGGCTCTGCTTTTATTTTAGAACTACCTGAATTTTTTGCACTTGATGTATACTGTCCTTTAGAACTAATTGCATTTTGTAGCATTAAATATGTTGCAAATTTACCTCTAGGTTTCCTGTTTGGAAAAAATTTTTTCCCTCTCCCCTTCCCATTTACAGAGATATCAGATTCATTAGAGTTTGGCTGCTTTGTTTTTGATGACTCTGAGTTAATATCCTTGGAAGAACTTTGAGAGTTAGATTCAACATGAATTTTTTTATCACCCGATTCACTTTTTTCCATTTCAGAAGTAGTACTTTGTATCTCATTTATTTTCGGTATATCACTTTCACAAGCACTGTCAGACAAATCCTCTACAAAGTCTGAAAGATGAAGTTCATTTGATTCCTCAATTTCTTTCTCATCTCCTGGACTGTTCTCAACAAAATCATCAAAATTATCATCTACTTCATACACTTCTTCTTCACTTTCTTCTTCAAAAGCTAAAATTTTCGACATAATATCTTCAACAAGTATGTTTACTTCCTTAGAAATAATATCACTTTCCAGGTTTTTAAACTCAAGATGAAAATTCTTTTCATCAGCATGAAAAGCATTACTAAGAACAGTTTTAATATCTAATTTGTGAGTCTTATAATAGTTATAATCAGCAATGCACATATAATAATATCCAAGTTTATTATTAATTTCTTCACAACACTTCTGCAGCACAATTTCACTACTGTTATTCGGCACATTCTCTGAGAAATTATAACCACAAGACGGAAAATGCTTCTCCTAAAAAGACAAGATCTGATGTTAATACAATAACTGAGAGAAAATTTACAGAATGAATGATGCATGGAATCGAGTTTGGATAACCGAGTGGAAGTGGAATTCGGCTGTAAATTAAAGTATTTGCTTCAACATGTAGGCAAGTATTATGAAACATAACACACAGGCATATGGTGAAGAAATACACCTGCATGCAAAATAAAAACAAAAACACTACATTTTAATTTAAAGTTATGTTGAATTAAGTTACTAATTTTATATGTGATTTCAGAATATTAAACTTTATTTAAAAAAATTCATGACAATAATAACCTTTCCAGAATTCCCTACATAATGCCTTTGAAATATTTTAATAATTTTCTGTAACAGATGAAATATTACTGTCAGTTAATATAAAGTATGATTGTGTAGACAAATAACTGCGGAATTCATGAAAACATACATGTAATATTCACTTTGTATTGGTGTTGAAATTGGCACAAATCATTTCAATTAAAAAACAAAAAAATATTTTTATTAACTCATATTACTAAAACACCATTATAGGACTATAAATAGCATACACTTAACACCATTATAGGACTATAGGGTAGCATGTGCATTAGGGGAAGTGAAAAAGGTTTGAAATATGGATAAGAAATGCTGAAATGAGCACCCTGCCATCAATTTCATGATTCAATTACCATATGGTCATTATTTTATTTTAAGTTTTTCACTTTAATTTCACAAAATCTTGTATTTATTTATCAAGGACTTAGATGATCTTTTTTAATTAAAAGAAAACAAATTTTCTACCGAGTTAGAGAAAAAAACTTTTTATCCAGTTTCAAAAGTAGGTCATTTTTTACTACAATTTCTAAATACTGTTTTTAACACTAATTAATTTCTCTCAAGCTATTAGATGAATAACAAATTTACTTTTCTAACAAAATATAAAGGAAAAATAATTTACTGTTTCTTACATATTCAAATCCTATTGTTGTTATAAGCATAATAAGTGTTTTGTTATTGTTTAACATTAAAATACAAATGCAGTAGGTGAAATATATACACAGTACATAAATGAAGCACCACACACAATACTGTACATAAATGTTATTCTGCTGTAAGATCAGAGACAATTTTTCAACATGCTCTAATGGCTCTGACTTTTCTTTTGTAATCGATTTCATTCCCTAGGCGATTTAATAACATTTTTGTTTTTTACAAATTTAGATACCTTCACATGTGGCATATGATATGCAGTAGCCAAGTCTTGATTAAACATGCGCCACAGAGACACAGAAGTGGTTAGTGACTCTGACCGCTGTACCAAAGGACCTGGATTACAATCCTGGTGCAGGCATGGATGCAATTTATCCATACCTTTATAGGAGGAAATGGACTACCTATTAGGTGCCTCCATAATAGATACCACCACTTCCAGCCTTAGTAATGGCCAACGTGTATAAATGGCTAGAACAGCCAATGCGAGGAGAAAAATTATTACACATGCCATCTTCATACTTTTGACTTCATCTCCTTGGTGATCCTAACAATTTCCTTTGTTGCTTGATTCTCATAATTATTTTTTCTAAAACTCATTGTTAATGAAATTAAAAAAAAAAAAAAAAAATAAAAAAAAACGACATGAAAAAACACAACTTTACTTAAAATTCCACGGGTTTGTTACTTAATAGTAGCAAAAGGCATATTGATGCTCATAGGCAGTTATAGCATATTCTCGAAACAGGTAAATATGTGGAGCGTTCATATTCATGATTCAGCTCGAGTCGTATTCCAAAGAAATATTGTATACAAAACAAAAATTAGGTCCAAACAAGACCCATACTGAGGTATCACTTTATCTGCAAAAACCTTTGAAAACACTAAATCTTTTTCATAGTTTATTTAAATCATTAGAACAGCTTGAATTAGAATGCAGTTTATTTGTAGTTTAACGTTTGTTCAAATTTTACAAAGCACATCTCTCTCTAGCCAATTAATTTTAATCTGATTTTTGATTAAGAACCTTGTGAGGAATGGAAGAGTTAAACATAATTAAAAAATCAAATTTTCAGTTTTCAGATAATTTTCATTTATTTTAGTATATGCACAACACTTTACAAATAATAAGAATCTTAGCACTGACTAAAAGTTCATAGTTTTCCTTGACAATTGGAAATAAAAAATGTCTGCTATGTATTAATAAAATATCATTCATTTCACTTATTCTAAATATTAGATATGTAAGATAGCAGAGTTAACTATAAATCACACTGGGAAATGAAAATTTAATTTCCATACATTGAACGGTACCCCAAATTTTTAAGAATGGAATTTCATTAGTTTCTGTAGTTAAAATGATTATCATATTTCATTGTTTTATTCATGTTATATGGTTTGACACAATAAATCAAGACTAACTGACAACTATATTTTGGCCTCAAAGTTTCTCTAAAAATTATTTATCATTTGCTGAAACTTGAATAAATGCTAATGAAAAACAAGTATAAACCTATAGAATCTATTCCAAACCTAGTTTTGGGGAAAGTTAGGGCTTCTGTCAATGGATTTGGAGATCATAGACAGAGTTTTCAAATTTTGTTTTAACATAATTCTAAGAGCAAACAATTTTTCCTATTCAACTGCAATTATATCAAATTACTTTCTAGTTTTCTGTCAAGTTTTACACTTTTGGAAATTTTGAATATAATATTTATTCATTGGCAAAGCAATAAACTTTGATGAATCATCTCCAATAAGAATACTTCCAACATTGTCTATTTTATCTTTTTCCCAAGAGATGTACTGGTTTTAATATGCTTTTAATTTTCTTTGTTGGATTAAAATTTATACATTAAAGCCCAATTTCTTCATCACTTATCACATGGAAGATCCAATGGTTGTGTAATACTCTCTGAATTGTCAGCTGTATTTTAAATACACACAGAAAAATCTATCTTGCAGATTTTAATAACACTTTCGTCAAAGTCACAAGGAATATAAGATAAATCATTTATACAAATCTTTCAATAATATATCCACTATTTGAATTTTCAAAGTTAGTTGACATAAACTACTCGCAAAATAATAAAAAAAAAATCTACACATCATGATCTATAGTACTATGAAGAATTACATCATTAATGGCTTCAAAAGAAATTGTCAACACAGCTATTACAGTATTGGTATGATCTTTGTACACTTCGATACACTTTTAACATCATTTAATGAGCAGCTCTATGACCATGAAAAAAATAATCTGAAGGTTTGTCAACAAAATGCTCCACAAGTATTGGCAGAAGTGGTCGGGACATCAGAATTTTGTCACTGGCCATAATAAGCATAGTCCTGCCATTACTACCTGTGCAGTTCTGCCCCAGTTTTGAAAGAGAATATCTCTAGGTCTACAGGTTACTCTCAACAATCCTTAGCTGCTAGAGCTCACAATTTACATCTTTAGAGCACTTTCAGCTTGACATGTATTTTGAGTGCCTTCACCACACAGATACTATACACTTACAAACATCCATATCTTTTCTGGAATTCAAAGCCAGACCCATTAGTACAGCAGGCAGCATTACTAACATACAACATATATTAACCTAACAATCAGTTGTAATAGATGAGGTATAAAGACATGCATTTAGATTCAGGCGTATGTATTCTAACGGGATTAAAACTGAACTGACTGTATGAAGTTATAGTTTTAGGTGGCCTAGTGGCACACAAATCTTTGGTGGAAAAAATAAAATTTTTGTCCACATGGACCTTGGCACCTTCCACATAGATGAATAAAAACTAATTTTGGCCAATAAAATTATAAATAAATGATGAAACACAAAGGTAATATTAGATAATGATACAAAGGTAATATTAGATAATTATACAAAGGTAATATTAGATGATATTAGATAATAATATCAGATATAAACATAATATGCTTTTCAAATATATTACATAATATTAGGGAACATTATGATATGATTATCAAAAAAAAAAAAAAAAAAAAAAAAAAAAAAAAAAAAACAGGAAGCCAAAACATTTCTTTTTTTAATATGGTGACACTTAATGTGTTAAATCTCTTTTCACATAGGTCAGATTTTACTCCGAAGAATAGATAATCACAATCTGTGCTGTTTGATGGATGGATGATCAAGCTCCTTAAAACAATACAGCTATTTTGAATTGTTAAAGAATTTAAAACGTCCATCTTGCAGAAATTTCGTTCATTTGAAGATGTTCAAATAGACTGTGAAAATTTGTCTTCGATAAATCCAATCTTGCTGCTTATCTTCTTGCTTTTTACCCTCCTATTATTTAATATTTCCTCCTGGAGAAGAATAATATTCTCAGATGTAAATGCCTCCACAGTCAATCTTTGTAAGAATAATCTTTTATGGATTCTCAAGTCATGAAAAATAATTTTATCCATTCTTTCATTATAGAATAGGAAGGAGATGAATAATTATTCACATGATCCCAGCATTGTTTTATTTCTTTCGGTTTAAGACCTTCAGTAATAAATTTAATTAAAGAATGATACTCAATTTTAACATTTCAGAACAAACTAGTAAATAACTTCATTCTGTTAAAAGTAAAAAAAAAAAAAAAAGGCATATAATTTCTCTAAAGAAACTTTCAATTTTTTAAAATTTAGTATTGCCATTACATGTCTGCTACAGCAATTTATCACGTTGACAATAATGTAATTTCAATTTTTTAATGTAAAATAAAACACAATTTTTTTCTATACAAAAAATGAACTTTAATATCAAATCAGTCAAATATCTTTTATTCTGTTCAATGACCTTTTGCCATCTTTCTGGTAACTTCATGATTCCGCACTAATAGAATTTCTGGTTTTTATCAGCCAAAAGCTCAAACAAGTGTGATTTGGACGTAATCGTTAATTCTGAAATTTTTACCATTTAATCTGATGGTGCAAGATTGGGACTATATAGGGGAAGCAACATCACTTCCCAACTAAGCTCAAATAATTTCACTCATGAACTAATTTCCAGAATGAAATTTTTTACACCAATTCTGACACTGTGTAAGCAATACAGCAATACAGTGAATTGCATTCTGTTATGCAATCAGTACCATAAATTTCACATATCTCTCTGTGAAGTTCAGCCGCTTCCTTGGCTTTACGAAAATAAAAAAATAAAAGACGTCAAAATATTTATTTTTTGCACCTCATGTTTAAATTGGCCGTAAACTAACAGTTGTAAACAAAAATAGACTGAATTTGTTTCTGTAACAAAATAAAAATGTCAGCTGCCAAATTTCAAAAGAAAAATTATAAGATAGACTGAAGAATAACAAAACAAACATAATGCTACCTATTTCTGGAAACAGAAGTTACTCTTTTGTGAACTCGGTATTTGCAAACACATTTTTTAACATGCACAGCCAAATATTTTAAAATCAACCTATCTCGTTTGCTGATACAGGATGTAAATTTTACATGTTAATTATTCTGATCAGCTAATGTCGCCTGTTTTTAAAACCTGCTAATAATGTGCAAAAAATAAATAAAGAAGGAAAGAAATAAATAACATTTCAGATTTACATGATTTTTAGTTAATTAAAAGATATACAGTACAAAGTCCAGACTCGTCGGGACTTCGACGATTCCGGGTTAGGGTTTTTTCCAGATTATAGATCATAAATTTAAATCTGGTAAGATGGCAAGCAGAAATTATAAAATTAAAAATATGAAACTATAATTTATGAAATAAAGAGCAATTATGATCTAAAAGGTATCAAAATTTACAAAAAAAAAAAGCTTAATATTTATTTGTTTCCTTTATTAAACGTTTCTTTCAATGTAAGTTGTTTAAGTTGCTTCGTTTTTCATGCTAATACTTTCTCTTTAATTTTATAAACAGACATAATTTCTAGTTCAGTTACAAAGCTCCACTGTTCAAATTTCCACTGTCCTGTAATTGCTGTGTCGAGAATACCGAATAACTTGTCAATCGAAATTTATTCGTTTTTCAATAAACGTTTTCGTTCTCTGTCACTTTCTATCACTATCGGAAGCGCGCATTAAACACGCATGCGTAAAGCATACAAAAATAAAAAAAAAAAAAAAAAAAAGAAGTTTGTGGCTTTGAGGTACGGATTATAGATCATTCCGGATAATAGACGTCCAGATTACGGATTTCGTACTGTATATGTTCTTTTCAACTATTTCCATCTGATATACCTCTCATTTTATTTCCACTAACAAATTTAATGCATAGACAAATAAACTATGCCTAAATATAATCTTTTAACCATAAAAGTAATATATACATATTGTATTCATTTCCCTCCTTTTAATATAAGAAACAGATTGAAAGTATTGAAGGTAATCACACTATAATCACAATACCTTCCATCCAAAATTTGTAAATATTTCCATCATTATAAATTGTAAACTGGTGCACATTAAATTCAGTTAATAATTATTTAATTTCAGGATAAAAAACTTTTTTTATAATTATTAGTTTTTAAACTACTATCAATTTACAAACTGCAATAGGCAAAAATGACAAATATTAAAATATACTACAATTTCTCAAAACTTCTGGGTATTATCCAAAGCTATATATCCACTAAAAAGGTAAATGTACTGCTTCTAAGTGTAACACAATCCTAGAAACAGTTTTGATAGCTCTAGGATTTGTAACTACTATAAATAATGCACATTTCGTTGAAAAACTAATAGCTCACTCATCTAATCACAAGACTGTATTGCTTACGACTTTATGTGGATAATCTTTCACGGCCAACTATATCAAAAACTTTCTTGTCGTTTTTAATCATCAGAAAGACAGACATAAGACTGATACTCAGGGTTATGTCTCAAAATAATCTCAATCAGCGCAGGACACCCTTTGCCAACATTCCTGCAGCTGTGTAATGCCCTGGCAATACAACTTGATGGTCTTGGATGCAAAGATATATGTGATACAAGTCTGCCTCATTCTCAAAGGTTTCCCCCTAGAGGTGACCGCCCACAGAATGGAACAACGATAATTCGTGGTTGCTAGGTCTGGAGAGCACATCTCTCAGCCAAGCTACCAAATGATATCCTTGGTCACCCTTGCCATATGTAGTATCACACTGTCATACAATGTACACAGAATGGAACAATGATAATTCGTGGTTGCTAGGTCTGGAGAGCACATCTCTCAGCCAAGCTACCAAATGGTATCCTTGGTCACCCTTGCCATACATAGTATCACACTGTCATACAATGTACACCATTGTGTTTAGCTAGATATTTCCAACCCTTTTCTTGGATCAAACTATTTGAAAAGAATGGTTTTCTTCATTACCCCATTACATTTAATACAAATAATTATACATATATAACTTAAATATAATAATTAAATTATGAATATGAACAAAAAATTTAAAAAAATAGTTTATTAGATTTATAATTTATTATCTTTTATATTATTAGCGTCAGAGGTGCTATAAGTCCCGTAAATCACTTTTTGCCCGTGCCATTTTTGTGTCTGTAACACTTTTCAAATTTCTGTCACCTAATGTTATCACAATATATTTTTTAAAAATAAATAAATTGTGAAAAATCTGCATGTATCTAAGAATGTTCCTCACACTGTGGAAAAACAATGACACCTAAAGACACCAAATTTTTAATCCACAATGGCCTTCATTTGAACATGAACACCTTGAAGGTCGAAAAGCAATAATGCAGCTCTTAATATTTTTCTACTTTTTAATTTGACTGATTTTTAAAAAAATGCATTTAAATCATGAAACGTGTAATTAAAAATATTACATAATTTTAATTTAAATGACACTTTCACACACTATTAATTGACACACTTTATTAAATGACAGGACTCGTTAAAATTATTACAGACCTTTTTTCTTTTTTACAACAATGCTTTTAGGCGACTGGCCACTTCAGCAGCTACTTTTCAAAGAAACAATATCGCAAATGTAAAAAAAATATACGACAAACCCTAACATTCTATTGAGAATTCTTAAAATATGTTGCTTTTAAATATTTTGTGATTTTGCTCTTGAATTTTAAGTGTCATAAGTGTGAAGAAAATTATGCTTAATAATAAAGCTAATGAGACAAAAAAAAATGTGTTAGCATGAATGAGTTCAACAGCAGATTGGCAACCTGCAATACTTAGCGAGAGCAAAAATAACATTAGCAAAGCCTCTATGATATTAAAATCTGAATCCTTTCAGAATTATTATTATTTTGAATAAAAGAAACAAAAATAATACTTCAAAAACTAAATCACAGTACTGAAATTTTATATAATATACATTTACGATTATATTTTTGCTTTGATACAAACAGCTAAAAATGAATAACTGTGATTTTTCCAGATTTTATATGCAGCAACACACAAAGTCATTTCTATGTAATTAAATAATGTTATCATATATATTTAAATTTAAAATGGAAGAGGGATTAAAATACAATGACTCTCCATATTGCCCAAATGATATGTATAATAAACATGATGAATTTAAGCAGTTTTATGACTTGGGTACATAATGAATAATTCACAAGGATGTGATAAAGAAAATCTCTAAAATCTTTAAGCATTACTTAAACAGGTTCAATTATAAAATTTAAAAAAATTTATTTATACCAAATTATTGAATATTTAATCAGATTTCATACTTTTTAATTGCTCTATAAAAATACTGGAATTATATAATAAGTGTCAATAAGCAATACTTACCAAATAGTGAATCATATGTCTGTTGCTAATGATGTGATTTATAACATTATTACCAGACACAGGTTTCAAAAGATCTTCATCACAAAGAACACAATGATAATTTCTTACTGATGTTTTGTTTGAACCTGAATTTCGAATTTCTACAAGATATTCTAAACCTAGAGAGACCAAATTTAGTTAAATTAAGAAAGTGATTAAAAAGTGCAATTTAAAAAGTATGGTTCTTATGCATATGTTCTATTGACTGTGAAACTGTCAGCAAGCACAGCGATTTAGCGCAAGTTACGGATAAGCATGAAGAAACAACACAATCATAACATTTGTGCTTTTGTTTGATGTAATTCCCATTGATTCTCAATAAGCCATATTTTGTTTTTGTGAACAAGTATATAAATTAACTGTTATTACTATACTTTTCAGAAAAAGCAGCAGGAGATTATTTTCGAAGTTAGGGGATAATACTAAACCCTTTAAAATATAAGGTACTGTGCAAAAAAGGGAGGGGACTGTTCTGTATCTCCCATTCTACTGGGCCATTTGACATTCATTCATATTGCATTTTTCGTGTCTCGAAAGTGCAACTTAGGATATATATTAGATTTATATATACAGCACTGTTCTAATATAGGTATTTTGACACAAAATCAGACTTTTTCTGATACGACATGGCAATTTTTTTCATATTTCAATTCTACGACTCAAATTATGCATAAATATTAAATTTTGTAAAATTTGGTACAAACTTACTGAGAAATTCAGGCACATTTTTTTTAGTTTGCGCCAAGAATAATTCACTTTGCAAACTTTTTAATGTACAGTAACCTATTTTCCTTTCCCCTTTTTTATTGTCCACGAGCAGAAAAAAAAGTATGGTTCATTCTTTCAAACAAATTTAACAAAGTGCATAAAGCATGTTTGACTTATAATAAATATTCAGAGTTTCAAAACATTCAAATATGCAAATTTATGTATATATTAAAACATTTTGACTAAAAACTCTAACTTTTTGCAGGTATGCCAAGAAATACATTTACATTAGAATTTTATAGGTTATAATACAAAAATGTTTTTAATAAATTTACAAAAATATTTAAAAATACAAATTTTAAAAACAAACCATAAAAATATTTGAATTAAGCCTAAATTTTGAATCCTGGAAGAAGGAATCAAGTTGAGTAAGGAAAAAAAAAAAAAAAAAAAAAAAAAAAAAAAAAAGAGAGAGAGAGAGATAATAATAATAAATGTATATAAAATTCAATTAACAATGAGGAGCTAAAATTTTGAGAGCTAATTTTTTAAAAACTTGGCAGTTTGGCATAATGAGTCGTAGAATTGAAATATGGAAAAAAAATTGGCATGTCACTTCAGAAAAAGTCTGATTTTGTGTCAAAAAACCCAGGTTAGAACAATGCTGTATATAAATCAAATACAGTTCGTAAGTCGCACTTTCAAGACATGAAAAACGCAAGTTGAATTTCGTCAACCGGCCCAATAGAATAGAAATAGAAAAAACAGAACTTTCCCACCCCAGTGTACATATTACTGGACAGAATATGGTCAACTGAATACAGCCAACAAAACAGTAATATACTGGAACAATAACCCAGAAGAAAAAGTACTTGTAGAAATCTAAACACATCTTACGGTTAAAAGAAGATCAAATGCTGATTACATTAAATAAAGAGGTAGCAGTTTCTTCAGAATTCCACAGGAATGAGTGCCATAAATTTTGTGGCATCTCTCCCTACTTTCATGGTTCAATGGGAGCCAACTTTCACAGTCAATGGGATAATATGCAAGTGCCAAAAATAATTTATATTATAAAATGTTTAGCATGTATATGTCATACATAAATAAAATTAGCTTCTGATTAACAATGGCTTTCGTAAAGAAAAGGGAACAAGTTTGTTATTGCAGAATGACAGAAAAATTACTAATACAAACTGTGAGAATAAAGCAAAATTTGTACAAGAAATGCAAAAAGGAGAGCAAAATGTATGGGATAACAGGAGTGATAGAAAATTATGCCACGATGTTTAACAATGATTTTTATTCCTTAAGAGCATGCAATTTAATTGTACATAATCAAGAATATATTAAGATTCAGGATCGTTATATTATGCATTAAAAATTGTTAAACTGAGAAATTAAGTAAATGAAGTTATTATTCTTCTGTTTCCCGATAACTCTTATTGCAATGCAAGATTAATATTAGAAAAAAAAAAATTCCTCTTGTTCTGTGTGTTCTTATTTTAAATACCGATTTAATTTGCATAAACAAACTTATTCTCCAAATTAAACTCTTAAAAATACAGTAAATTATTCATAGTATTTTCTGCTAATTATAGTATAAGCTATTTCTCTTTCCTGTGTTTTTTTAAACTGCCGTTGGATTGACAGTAATTTTGTGTTTCCTATGGACGATCAAAATATATGAATTATGAAATCTAATTATATGAAATATATATGAAAAATTAATTACATAACACATTTCAAGTTTTTAATTATTTTTAGAGTATATAAATATAGCTGGCATTCAGGATAAAACTACAAGTCATTCATTAAGATCTCATCAGCAAAAATGCTCCTTCAATTAAATGAAATTAAAAAACAGTAAAGATTTCTATCCATTGAACAGCCTGCTTCAAAAAGCATATACAGTGTACTCTCGATTACCTGGGCTAAAGATGGGGAAGAAAGTCACAGATTATCCAAACTATCAGTTTTTATGCCTAATGGATATATTTATATTTTAAAGAAATCCATAATTTCACCATCCCTCCATCAAGAACATGTAGAGTTTCAAGAGAAATCACTGCAGTCTTGGAACTAATGTAACGGTCAGTACCTTCTTCGCTAGCATTTTCGGTATTACTTACTGCCTCTTTTGTCCTTGTCACATTTGAAACAGTATATGCATAATGCAAACACTGAAAGCACGGCTCTGTCAAATCCCCATCGAACTATTCCTCGATGTTTTCTCAATTGATACTTTCAAAGAAATTTCAATTTTCAATTTTTTGGCATACAACTTCAGTGACTTCTTCAGGATTATATAAATCTCCAATTTCTATATTTGGAAGAATCTTTATGGCTAAAAGTGCTGTTCCTTAACTTTATACCAAGCTTTAGCTACTCTCGTGCATAGTGTTGAGCGTGTATAGGGACTGCCACATACAGATAATAGAGAGTATATACTGTACATTAAAATTTACATCCACATTAATGAAATGAAATATAGAAAGACAACAAGATGTGTTAAAAGCTATATCAACAAGATACATTAATAAAATGTATTAAAGTTAGCATCTTATTGAACAAAGAATGCAGTGTAAAATTAATTAAAAATGAAAACTATCGTAAAAACTTACCAATAAGATGGGAAGTCCAAGCATTAAGTATATTTTGAATTATTGCTTCACCCTGGTAAAAGCCTATAAATATTTAGCAACATAAACATCTATAAACATGAAGAAAAAAAAAAAAAAAAAGGAAAAACTACTTACACTTTTATATAAATGGTAAATAAATTATGATATATTTAAAAAGGAATACAAAACTTTAAAAGATACTCCAATTACATTTTTTTCCTTACTAGATAATGGAAGTTAGTAAATCCCAATATTGTTCTTGTTACTTTCTAATGTTATTCAATTACATACCATGAGTTTTCAATCATTCAATGAGTTCCCAAACCATCAGTAATAATGATTTTCTGTTTATGTAGTTATAGAAGTCAGCTAGCTATATGAGATCTTTCATATATCTATCTTCACGGGAAAAAGGCAGTTTAAACTAATGAATGAGAAAGACAATGCAATGCATATGCATGCACATAGCCCTAAAAATTCAATGGTCATTCTTCTGACTTGTTTGAGCATTTCTGATTACTTATTCTGATATACATTAAATGCATATTTTTCCTTGTAAAAAATCATAATGGAACTGCAGAATTTGCCAACTGAGGAAAAAGAAAGCATTGCATTTTTTCAGAAATATAGCATTTTGCCCAACAGACGAATGCAAAAATTCAGATTCTATAATAGTGTACTTCTTAAATGAATAAATTTTACGCAAATGCAATGTTAAAAATACCAAGCAAAATGTTAAAAGATGGGGTGTCAAATTTGGTCATTCTAGTTTTTTTAAGCAAAAACTCATCGCTGTGTACATGGGAAGAACAGTGGAAATTACATAAGAATTTCATGAAAATGCTGTTTCATTATAGATATTTCTCGCTTTTTTAACATTATTGACCGATTGCTCTTTTATGAAATTCTTGTCATGCTGACATTTTGAAAATGGTTGCTGACTTTTGTGTACTAGCTTTGCAAAAAATTAGTTGCCTATGAGTTGATGACTTTTCTTAAGGTGAGCATAGATAATCAGACAGTACAGTTTATTTTATAGTATTTGTATAGAAAATTACAGGGGGCACTGCACCACCATGTATGTATAGTTAATTAAAGAGTTTCAGCAGAGAGCATGAAAGAGAGTGGATGGGTGTGGTGATGTAGATGAGTGGCATTAAATAGGTATCATTGTAACTCCAACAAATCTGCAGATATTATTTGTATATAGAATTTGCCTTATAAAGTAAAATTAGAAGTGTATTATTAGAAGAAGATTAGAAATAAATTGGAAGAAGTGTATTCATTTCACTGCAACATGGCATGAAGAACCACTGATGTGAGTATGAATGAATTAAGTGTTTTTATGCCATTATATTAACTCTTAACTGTACTCCAATCCTTGGAAACCAATTTAAATTTACTTCACTGAATAGTATAAATTCTTTTTAAGAATTTATTTGATACACAGAACATAACATAATTAAAGTAATACATAACATAACCACAATTAAAGTAATCAGTACAAAGTCTTTAATCCGGACGTCCATAATCCGAACCTCAAAACTACAAACTTTCTGCGCATGTGTAGCGTTTACGCATGCGCATGATATGTTTATGCATGCGCGTTTAATGTATAATGGACGGTATAAGCTAGGCTAAAATTATCTAATTATCTATTTCAGTTAATGTTGCAGATTGTGTTGTTCCTTAATCTTCTAATTGGATCTGGGGGTTTCATATTTTTAATTTTATAATTTCTGCTTGCCAACTTACCAGATTTAAATTGATGATCTATAATCCGGAATCGCCGAATTCCCGACGAGTCCGGATTAAAGACTTTGCACTGTACATCCTCATATGACAGAAGAATTATATTCTTTAATCATCTTAAACATACTGGATGGATCAATAGCATTAGTTCCTACTTAAAATAAATAAAAAGCAATCCTTGGAAACCAATTTAAATTTACTTCACTGAATAGTATAAATCCCATTTAAAAGAGATTTGATACACAGAACACTGACCAAAATAATCATATTTAAAGTCAATCCTAATTGGACAGGAAGAGTTATATATTATATTCTTTAATCATCTTTAAAATAAAAAGCAATAATAGGAGGAAGCAATCTAAGAAAATACACCCCTATTTAAAAAATGAGGATTAAAATTTAAATTGACAAGACATATTTTTTATGTGTGAATTAAAAGAAAAATTAAATAATTAAAAATTTATTTTCGAAAACAAAACCTGGTTACTCATTACTGATTTAGAAAATTTGCTACAAGTTATACAATGCAATGCTACTCATACAATGTGATAACTTGCTAATGTGTGATGCATACATTACATTTAAATCTTGCATTTTTGGTTACTGTGCTTAATTTACCCTAGCTTGCTTTTTGATATGTAGATACATCAATAAATCATAAGAGAAAATTTGGAGTTGTCTACTTTATCTGGTGCAAAACAAGGAATTTCTATTGGATAGTATATACAGTCAAAATTCTTTAATCCGGACTAGTCGAGACTTCGGCGATTCCGGATTATAGATCATCAGTTTAAATCTGGTAAGATGGCCTGCAGAAATTGTAAAATTAAAAATATGAAACCGTAATTTATGAAATAAAGAGCAATTATCATCTAAAGGATATCAAATTTACAAAAAAAAAAAAAAAAAAAAAAAAAAAAAAAGAGCTTAATATTTATTTATTTACTTTATTAAACATTTCTTTCAACGCGCGCATGCGTAAAGCATACATTACGCATAGTCGAAATTAGAAAATTGCAACGAGAAAACTATTTGATGTGTATTCGTGATATTTATAATGACGAGGAATTTAATTTAAATCATATCAAAGACGGAGTACATCGAGATGAAATACTACATTTAGTAAGGAATCATAAGCTGAATAAACTAAAACCATCTGTCCTGAGGATAGTACTGACAGATCAAATTCCAGTTCATTGTGAGCCGAAATGAAAGTTTTGAAAAGAGTAAAACAAGTGAAAGTCTGAGAACTCAAGATCAGGTCCTTATATGATACGCATAGCAACACTTCTCATAGAAGCTCCAGTAATTTTTGTCATTTTATCAAACTTGTATGTAGTCTCGTGTTATAGGGATGGAATATAGTTCCTGTATGATTTCTTAATTCTGAAAGTTTCTGGAAGATGGATTCGTTGAAACTGTCCAATTTGCAACAACAGCACACATCAAACTGATTTGTGGCTCATTAGTAGTAGGTTGGAATCAAGTCCACACATCCAAGTTTGATAACTGACAAAAATTATTGGATTATAGATGAAAAGTGTTGCCCCACGTATCATACTTACCTGATCGTGTGCCCTCGGACTTTCACTTGTCAGACAAGAAAAATCAGCGAAAAACAATATCAGCAGAAACTAAACAATGTAAATAAGCACATTGTTTAGCTTTCGCTGACAAAGCTGGGCACTTTTGTCAATGAGGAATTAGGCAGCTTATTAAAAGAAAGTAGGTTACCCAACAAAAAGGGGACTATAATACTGACTGGCTTATTGTTCTTTTTATTAAAAAAGAGCCTTTGAACAACATAGAAAAACGTGTCATGACTTTTCAGATAACCCAATACATTTACCTAATACATAAAATATTATTTCTTTCCCTTTTCTTTAATTTTTTTTTAGAGAGGTATTATGTGCATGTTTATAACTAGGTTTGTATACAAGATACTTGTTTCTGCCAAGTGTGATTGTCTCTTTAAATAAATTAAAACCAAGCCTAAATTCTGCTCTTTTCTAAGACATTCTAACTTTACAGATAACACAAAATATCAACAATTTTAATCTTCGTGACTAGCCTTGCTTTTTTAATTACTTTTTAACTTCAAAAGTCCCAGACAATTTTTTAAATTTAAAGTAAAAAGCTATTAGAAATTGGAAAAGCCTCGAGCTAATAGTTGTAAACATAATTTTCCAAATTTGATTATCAGACATTTAGTGAGATCTTGGAAAATAATATACTTTAAGACTTCCCAAAAGCCAGAAAGAAAAGTAAGTAAAAAAGAATCTTTCATCTTTTCGATAAATAGCAAAGTTATTTAATTTTCAGGGTTCATACACATTTCTGCATATGGAAATTAAGTACGTTTTGAGACTTTAATGACCACCAATGGAAAATAAAAACCTATCAGCAAACATGAACTCAATAAACTAAAGCAATTATCTACACCTGCACTACACTTTTTTAATACTACCTGTGTAATTTATTATAATAAAATTATATTTGAGTAGGATGCATTATTATTAAACCTAATATTTAATTTTATTATAAAACAAATTCAAGAATAAAATCAACTTCAATTTTTTTCAAGTAATTAGCATTAAACTATAACATTTCTTGAAATTTTTACACTTATAACATTTATATTTTACAGTTATAACAGTCCCATATACTTTAAAGAAATTTTACTAACAGTTAGCTTTATAGTGATTCTTTCTTTTAAGCTTCCTTTCATCACATACACATTCAATCCAAAGGTTTACACGGATTTTATGTCTAGCATAAGTTAAATTGAGAAGTATAATAATTCATAACAGAAGTCACTCATAACAGAAGCTTGGCTTGCACCTGCAACTGCTTGCTTAGAGACAGAAAGGCACTAATCAGAAAAGACATAAGCATTTGACGTTGACATGATTGGTTAATGTTTAAAGTTAGCTTTACTTTTCCTGACCCAGTTAGCGATTCATAGCTTCATGCAGAATTGTTGGAAGTTGTAGCCCGTATTCAATAGAAAGTTCCAATAAACTATGCAAGCACCAGAGGGGATAGATTGTTCTGTATTATTTTAAAGCTCATTAGACATCAGGAATAAAGTTTTGTGTTAATTTTTACACTTTTGTGTTGTATCTTACATCTACAATAAGGAAAGGCAATAACTCCCTTTAACATGTAGAGATAACTTCTAAAGTTAAGCAGTTAGTTACAAATAATTAAATTACATGGTTAGATATTCTTAATCATAATAGATTTAATAGGTTACAATTACAATTTTTTTTTATTTCTACAAAATATCCATTAAAAAACGCTAAGAACAT